CCAGTTTATTATGCATGATTCAAAATGTCAAATTTCTTTATTAAATTTTAAGAAAACTTGTAAATGTTACATTTCTCTTTGGAATCACGAAGCACAGACGCTTTCATGATTTCATGCAAACTTTTAAAAACAGCCACAAAAAAATATATTGTATGATTTCTACATATGCATGGAGCATACCGTTCCTTCAAAAAACTGGTCATTCAAAACCATCCTCAGATCAGAGGGAGGTGTTTGCTCACTTTCTGAAAGTGCTCCCTAAGATTGTGGTTTATTTTCAAGAAAAAGAGGAGCTGATGATCAAAAATGTACTTGCAAACAATTACTTTAGCTTAACAAGGAAGATTGGAAATTTTCATGCACGATTCCACCGCGACTCTGAATAGTCTCAGCAAAATACCCAAAATTAAACCAATTCCAACGGGCAAATCTTCAATTTGATGATACATTCTTCATATCGAGATAATGTTATGAAGAATTTTTTCCCAAGCTAATCGAAAATTATTAAAACAAGATGGCGACTAACGCATGAAACAGACATAACATTCTCCACAATTTAACACATTAGCACAAAACAAAGTAAACATTACATTTACGTAACAATCAACAGGTTTCCAGGCCGTTTCCCACTTTTATTTTTAAAGAAAAGAGGCTTGAAATTGTATGATTAGCAAAGAAATCGTTAAGGTTCGTTGCAAGCTAAATGAACAATAAAGCCTTGTTACGCTGTAAACAAAAACACTTTTACCGGCTTGGAGTTCTAGGGAGAGGCTGGCTTTTTTTCTATAATTTAATTCCGGTTTGACTCGTTCTCTAACTGCCGGAAGATTTAAACCGACAAAAGCAGCTCATTAGCATGCCATGTTTTAACAAAAAGTCATTCATAATTTTCGACCATTGTTGAGCGTAATATAGTGATTAGATGTTTTTGGATACGTATTTCAAATCAAACATAATACGATTAATTTGAAACTGAATAGCACATTTTCGTTCAATTACAATTCTTACCTCAAATACCCTCCGCTTAAGTCAAGAGGGGCATTATTTAGTTGAGGAAATTGAGCTCAAATAACATTCAACGGAAACCCGCAGAGAAAACAACACCACGTTCACGATCTTTGCGTGACCAAAACAAATCTTACATAAGATTCACTCACCAATTGATAGCTGAAGCTCCTCGGTGTCTCGGCAGCAAAGAAGGATGATAAATGATTGAACCATGTTTAGGGAAATCAATAACGTTCATGGGAATAAACTGCGAACAGAATGGAAGCACGTTTAATTCAGCTTCGCAAGCTTTGTACGCTTCTACAACTTCGGGAATCGGTTCCCCTTTTGTTCTCCATCTCGGAAATTTGAAGACTTTCACTCCATCTTGCTCGGCTCCTGTCGCAAGAACATCTGGTTTTCCTTTAACATCAGGAACTGTAAATACTCCGACGATCTCGTGGCCTTTTAATCTGAGGTTTTTGTAGACTTCCAAACCAAACTGCGACTGGCCGATCACGGCAACTTTCAACGATCCCATGGCGTTTGTTGATGTGTATATGGTCCTTCTCGCTGCAACTTGTACAAAACGAAATGCACTGAGCATAATTCGCTCGACTGAACCAAAATCCGAGTACTGGTTGATTCGATAATGCGTACACTTCGAAATCTGCGTATTGAAGACAACAGATCCAACCAGCGCACGTAGTAAAACTGAAAACTGCACCGGTTTTGTTGCCTAAACTAGTTGGACTCGATTAACGCGCCAATCACAGGCAGCTACGAAGCTCAACAGGAAAGACTGGTTTTGTTTACAAGGAGGCGTTATCGGGGGTGTGTTCGAAATCTTATTCAATCGTTTCTTTATCTTTCTCCGATTGATCGTCGATTCGATGCAAAATAATGTACATCATTTGAGACTTCTAAGATCGAGTCCCGAAACGTTTTTGTAGAAAATATTGAAAATAAAATTACAGAGAAGACCCCATCTTTCCGTAAACTGGTCAAGTCAAACGGGAATTTAAAAACCTTTCTCCTCATTTCCGACAACGGCAGAACTCGGCAGGAATGTTTCTTTAAATTAAGTACCTCTGAATTTTCAAAACACAATACTAAACTTGAATTACGGTAAGTCACAAAAACAGCTGATCGAATGATATTATAGCTGTAAATACTGCGCGCCATTATCGACCCCAATATCAGTTGGAGTGAGTCTGTACAACTATCGTAATTCGGCAAAGCTTAGAAATTGTTTTGAAAGTCGAGAATCAGTTCTCTGAAATAAAATTTAATTTAACTTTTGTAAAAGATTCAAAAATCAATACTGTAGTTTTCTTTCCTCTTAAGAAATATACGACTAACAAAATTCGCGATTCGCGTGATCATCACCGGTATAGTCGGTGGAAGAGCTTCAACTCCTTGCCAAACTGGACCATAAAATAATAATATTAACTTACCCAAAGTCTTAGAAAGCCAGGGTGTGTTGCACCAAGATAGTACTTCTCTTAAGTTAAGCACCTCGCTGAGATGAGGTAAAAACAGCTAACTTTAAAACCACAGCTGTCAAGAACCACCAGGTACTGCCTCACTTCAGTCCAGAGGTCACAAGGCATTACAGGGTGACGGATGGCAGCTCCCTAAATGTCAAGAAATAAAGTTGTCATTGCAATCATAGCAGCATAATTTAGATAAACAACAAAAATGGTTTAGTTGAGTCTAAAGAGCACACGTCAGTATTAAAATTTGTTTTTAAAATACTCCTAACTTCACAAGTTTCATGAGGTTTGTGTAATAAAAAGATCTTTTCACATTTTCAAACCAGGTACTCAGAATTATTATTTCAAGCCTTTACCTAAATATATATTAGACATGTATGACTAAAAGAAATTATACAAAGCACAAGATTTTCAAATTTCTGAATTCCTTAAGAAGTTTACTTTGGCAGGATGTGACAACAAGTTTATTTATGTCACAAACAAAACCACAAATAAAATTTTAAGCACAAAAAATTTTTGGTTTGCTGCTCTTTATGCCTGATGTCCACCTGAAGTAAATAAAAGAAGATGCTTAAAAAGTTACTGCTAGTGACAAATCAATCTTCACAAGTACACTTCAGTGACAGTCAATACAAGAGATTGAAAAAATTCAGCCAGGTAATAGTGATGCTGATGATAAAAAACCCCTGATATTAATTATTTACAACAATCATTGAGAATCAGAAGGCAATAAGATGATGATAGAGAAAGGCATTGCCTCTCTACATTCAGCACCACAAAAATCATGAGTGTTCTTTGGATGGAAAATGTACTAGATACCATCATCATACTTAATATTTATGGGTAAAAGAGTTGAATTTTTCCAATTAACAGGAAAGTTTTAAAAAATGTCAATTTAAAAGCTTCAATTAATTATAGTTTTCATAACAACATTCACAACTGTTTTTTTGCAAAATTTTCTTGTGAAATAGATGATGCTATCTAATTAATAACTATGGATTGATGAAGGAAAACCTTACCACCCCAACATCATCATCCCTACCATTCCCCATTTACCTACTGGGAGAATTTGTACAACAATCAAGAGTTTCTTGAAGGATGATTCAGGGGTGACAGTGTTGAGAGAAATTAGCTACTGACAATTAATATCTCCGTGCAAAATTTTAATTACCTACTACCCACAAGTGTTCCACTACCCACTACCCACTACCCCCTCCCCCCAACCCACCCACACGGGAGAACGAGTCGTCGACCGTTCTCACTATATTTTAGAGACCGTTAAAGGAGAACGATTGGCGCTGATTTTTGAAAACAATCAGAGAAAAAACTCACACACCTCTTCCTATCCCGTATCAACGTTGAAGATGTGCCTTGAAATATTTCCACGTCGCCATGAACATCCAATCATAAAAGAGCGAGTGTTGTTCATTTCAGTTGTCGGTTTCCTGATGAGCGTTCCACGGTGAAACCTACGAAGACACCTCCGATTCCAGCTGTAGCTTTGCATATCAAGTAACTCTGATTTCAAGCCAGTAATACAACTTAATACGAACGCGATCGACCACAGCGCTTTGCTCTGGTTCTGCAAGTTTTAATATGCTACACTGCAAATGCAAGGAACATGAATCAGAGGGATTTTCCATCACGCGCGGTCACCGTTCGAAGTTCACTTGAAGTCCAATAGTCGTCACCAGTCTTTTATTGATCACTCGGCTGAACGAAATGCTCGGGCGCATCGGTTCAAAGTGGTCAATGTTCAAAAGTTAAAATATTTAGAACAATTGCTTCATTGTGAACTTACTTTCGCTTAATTCAGCCCCCAAAAAATGTCACCAAAATTGAAGGGTAACTTGTGCGATCCACATTTACGGGATCGAACCACATCGGTCAGGAGGAATCCACAATGGCCATATTTTGCACTGTACTCAATACAGCTTGACAAAAGTTCAGAAAAAAAAGGGTTGTCTTTTAAGTCTGAGTTAAAATATTTTTCAATGAGCCCCATCTTTAATTAGTCTCCCGTCATAAATTTTTAGAAATCAATGAGACCTTGTAAAATAATAAGGGCCTTAACTCAACCCTCTCGGAAGGAGACGGTAAGATCTTGAAACGTTACTCGACAAAAAATTATGCAACTTCCAAGGATGTGTCAAACGCATTGCCAGATTAAGATTTAGTTTATTTTAATTCTTGTGGTGAGTACAAAACTATTGACACTTTGTACAAAATTATTTCATATCTTTAATAAGCCTTAGTCTACTTAGGTAATAGATGATAATCATTGCAAAGCCTTCCGTTTAAATTGTCGAAACTAGACGTGACAATGGACCTGGCAACAGAGTAATTTCAGCCTTTCTGGAGGCAAGGAGATATACGGAAGGTTGAAAGCCGGAACATTGTTATTCATAGTTAAAAAGATACGCAGCAAAAAGTTTTGAATTTTCCTCTAACCACTTTCTTCCTTGCAAATGTGCTTTGTTTAAAACGAGGTGCGCCTCGTTTCCCAGACTCCACGCGGGATTACGGGAAAAGAGGAACGGTACCTATCATGGCATTTCATTTGACGTCATCAAATGACGACGATTTTTGTCGATTCGCCCCCAGATATCCCACGGCCAATTACAAACGTAGGAAGTTGGGTACGAAGCCGGATAGCCTGTGTTACTTATAGATTGTCCCTAAGCTTCTCTCTTTTTCATCTCGCTTCTTCGTCCATACATCATGTCATCTATTTGGCGATTTATCTTTAGAAATAAGTTGATCAGAATCTTGTTCTGTTTCCCCCACAGGCTTTTCTTCATCTTCCTCACAGCCATCTTTTCCTTCTCCGAGCACTAAGACAGATAACAGCAAGTTTATTCCAACTACAGTCAACAAAAACATAATATCTCAAGGTAGGCCCTGAAGAATTTAAAAAGTAGAATCGAACCTTTTCTCAACGGCTGCCTCGGGTACAGGGCGAAGAAACCGGTCATCAATTACCCTATCCCCCTACCCCGGCGATAAACAACGATTGGTTTCTATGCTGAAATGGATTAGCATCCAATCAATGACGAGAATTATTACTTTCGCCTCCAGCCAGTGAGCTGTTGTAACAAAAGCCGACCTTGTCCATAATTGATTAGGGAATACAATAACAAGTGCAAGGCTAGTTACCTCCGTTTCACTGCAAAGACCTGAGCTATAAGACTTCCTCACCTTCTCTCCTGGAGACATCGTGAGAGGCCGCCCCTTTTCCTAATATTAGTACAGCTAAATAAGCTCCAAATGCCGCGAAACACAGGATGCATCCCTCGGCTAAGAAGCTGATTGGACCAACGTAGTCAAAGACCTTGCCCACAATGAGTGGAATTATCATCTCACCTATGGCTGCGCTAACAACAAACATGCAGGTCACCGTACCTGAAAATCACAACAATTGAGAAAACAGAACTTAGTTGGGATAGGACATATTGTAAACATGTCCATAATCATTAGCTGTGGGCCGAAATTATTTCATACGAAGTTGGAATAACAGAGATAAATTGTAGTGGCGAGAAGGGAAAGACATGCAGTTAGAGGAAGCAAAGGTGTCTCTCATTCCCACTTTCCCGTCCCCCCCCCCACTCCCCCCTCGCCCCCGCTATGCCGCTTTGTGCCCGTATAACTAGTCCCCAGTTCTCGCGCACTTCTTTAAACCAATTAGTACGAGCGACGAACGAGATGATTATAGGGAAGCTAGCGAAATTCTCGGAGTTTCACAGTGACCTCAGGCGTTGCGTAAGTTATTGACAGGGAACTAGACCAAGTTCATTAGTAATTAACAAACCTGTGACATTGAAATACTGCTCTGCTAATGCCACACTTGTTGGAAACACGTTACTCATAAAAAGACCAAATGTACTAGTTCCCATCCAAAGCGCAGACTCGCTTGCTCTGAAGACTAACATTAATAAACTTGAAACTAAACAGCCAATCTGAAAGAGAACCAAACTATGACTTCATATAGTCAGTCATTTCAAGTCATTTCGCCGTGCATATGAGCGAAGTCGCCCCTAAGTGTTTTTTCTTCTTATAACAAAACTCGTAACTTCGAATTATTCAGTTTACTGTAAAAATAGTTATGACGATCCTGAAACCCAGCTAATATCGTAGTTATCAAAAATATTTCAAACTGTATCGTTAAATTACTTCTTCAGAGAAAGAAAAGAGAGGATCATCTTCTGTTGAAATTTAACACTCGACCCAGTACCTCTCTGAGTTCAGTCTAGACATTTTTTTCTAAGGTCTTACATCTATCAAATGGTAGAATAAAGATAAAAGAGAACTTACCAAATCTACAAGAAGCATAACAGCTGGAGACAAAAACAAAGCTATAGGTATGGATACGAGACGACCTAATGCCAGGGATCCCTGAAAACAACATGAACATTTTAAATAATTGTCAGACTTGAAACTTGAAATATAAATTTTAAGATACGGCAGTTATCGGGACTTTCGAGAAATGGGTCCTAGGTCCCAGGCTAGCAAACGGTCAGAACTTACCCAAAACACGGAAGTAAGAAAAGCACCCTGAGCTGACGTCATTCGTAATGAGCTCTTCACTGCGTAAGTATAAACATATCCCCCATAGGACCCCTGACAAAACAAAATAATATAAGTATATAGTATAATATGAGTATGACGATGTTACTTTTTCTTAATATATCTTTAATCAATTTCTTGCTACTTCCTGAATGACCTTATATTTACTAAAACAATTGAAAAATGTTTCACCTGCATTCCATCGTAAAGAAAAACTAGAAATGAAGTCCAGAATGTAATGCACAGAACTTGTGTTTTGTTTGGATTATCACATAGACCCGGTTTCTTGAGAGTCTCTTTGTCGAGGTGAACTTTTGTTGTAACTCCTAAGAGGAATAAAAGATGGTTGTATTCGATTCTAACTTAGCAGTGCGGAAAGGGGAAGGGTAAAAAACTGCAAACACCTCATTTTATAAAAAAATTTCAGTTAAGCGTCGAAAGTAACCCAGGGTTGCGTTTGTTTTGCCCCACCACCCTCCTTATTTGATTTAGAAAACTCCCTTCAACTAATATGTGAGCGCTCGTTGGTTGAGAGGGTGATCCTCATTGTTAAATTAATACCGAATAAAAGATTCATCGAATAGGTACAAATCGCACCGCTTGGAGCCAATCAGAACGCAAGGATCACATGTGTTTTCAAAATAGATGCAATAAAGTTTTCTATATTCTAACAATGCAACGTGAATAACTGACCCTGTCAGACAACCGTAATCTGAGAAGCTAGACTCCTAAAGGAGGGAAGAGGGGAGGGGAGAGACGGGGAATGGATAAAGAAATAACTCAATTTTCTATAGTCCCGCCTTCCGACTCTGTTAGCGACGACTGATCCCACTCTATTCCCCTAAAAGTTATCCGACCCGACCCTCCCACAGATGGTAAATTATAACTGGTCCCTCAGACCCAAGATAAAAATCAGTAACGACTTGATCATAAGCGTTTTTCCACGTTTCATGCAATTTACATGTTTATTCTTTAAGTTCATATTGGTCGTTTGTGATGAAAACTTCTCTTTCTATATTTGATCAGTCATTCTCAGAAGCATAATTAAAGAACCGGTTTTCTACAGCACCTTGTACTTCTGCATCCGGGATATCCGAGCTTCTGCGCTCTTTTTCTGCCTTGGCCTCGACAGCTGTTTGTCTTAACTTATGCTCCGCCCACTTGTCCGCGATGACAATATATGCAAGACCTACCACCACTGGCAACTACAACGAAAGAAAAAAAAAAGTTTTATCGTACAAATTGTTATTAGATCCTATATGGTTCTTTCATGATTTTCGGTTGCATGTCAGCTCTTTTTTCTCTTTATTTCTTTGCCGATAAGCCAAAAGGCTCCGTTAAAACTGCGTGGACCTGAGGGCGATAGGCGAGTCTCTTCCCAGGCCTACTAAAACCTTCATCTACCTCATTTTTTCCTCATTTCGCTTGTCTTACCAAATTGGAAAGGATAAATATCATTTTAAGCAAATAAACTCACATGTGCTAAAGCTATAATCCAGTATGCTACTTGGACCTCGCTTTTGTATTCCTCAGATCCAGTGCTAAATGTGTCTCTCATATGGTTGGTAGGTCTGTGGGATAACTTATGATGACTGCGATGTCCCATCCCACCGTAGGGCAGCGGATTCCCCCTTTTGGCTGCCGGCAGCCCAAGATCTGGATGGGGACTTCCGCTGAGAAAGGGCTCTGCGATAAGAGGGCTCACAAACGCGCCAAAACCGTAGGAGAAGTACAGAGCCTGCGAAAATAAAGGAGTTGTACCAGTTTGAAATTTCCAAAAGTGTCCACCGTCCAACTTCTGAATTGAATGTAAACGAAGTTGCAGAGAGATGGAGTTAGGATGAAGCAAGAGGGCTCAAAGATGAAAGTAATCTTATCGAACAAACAAAATTCCCCGATGGAGGTTAAAGAACTTTTTGGTAGACGTGGATTTAATTGGCCAAGGATAAAGTTTTTGGCGCAATTATTTTGCTTTAATCTTAAATTTATTTAAAAGCGCTGCAATCACGATTACGGAACTTTCTTAAAAGCAAAAAAGGGGGAAAATTTATAGGGAAACTGTGGTGCTGCGTCAGATGATTTTTAAGATGATCTGTTTCATCAACTCAGTTGATATTGTAAACAGGCCATGGTAAAGAGTTTCAACAGCTAATGTTTTTAGCATAAGCCCTTCGTTACAGCAAATGGCGAAGGGTTGACACCTGAAACGTCAGCTTTAGACACTCTCTGCGGTGGCCAATTTACAATATTAAGTCAGTTGACAAAGCCAGACACTCTTGTCTCAGTTACAAACTTTGGTTACCAAAGACATCTTGTTTTATAAAAAAAGTGATGACTAGTGATAAACTGACTTCTGGTGTAGATACCTCAAAGTCAAGTACAACAAAGGAGGGTGAAAGATGATTCGACTCACCTGTAGATATGGAGAAACCTTTGGGGAAAATGAAATAAAAGAAAGGTTAAATTGTTTTTTTGCAGAATATAGAACAAGTATCTATATGTATAGATACACAGTATTGACATGGTTAAACATAAAAACTTGAAGTGACCAGAGGTATTGCTACTCGCCCATCCCCTGCATGGGATGTTAGTACATCACTGCTACCGTGCCCCCCTCCCCTACTTTGGTATTTTGTCTGATTTCCCTAACAGTTCGCCAGTACTCGTCTACATAATCTTGAATTGAAACAGGCATTGTGAGAGTGAGGCGTTTTGCCAAAGAACATAACACAATGACCCTGGCTGGGAATCGAACCCAGACTCTTTGATCCAAACTCCGGAGCGCTAATCATAGTGACCTAAGCTGCACTACAAAAACGTTCAGGATTACAAAACAGCTCAAGTAATCTTCCTTCTTTACCTTTTTCCCATGAATAGCAATGAGCTGAACATTAGTAGCAGTGTCTAAGATTCCCACAGAAAAGCCCGCAGCTGCTGTTGATAGGATCAGAAGCCACAACGTCCGACATATGGGAATCACCGCTAAGAAGATCGCGTTCAGCAACAGAAAACACAAAAGGAGAAGGTTACGATTGAAGTCGTATCTGAGATGGAAAGAAATGAAATAACCTTAAAAAAAATATTTGAAACCCGAAGGTCAACATTTGTTTATGGAATCAGTATTCACGGAAGGAGCTCGAGGCAAGGGGCAGTGTACACTGACAAGAATTATCTCTTACATGGAAATGAAACACGTAAAGATTAAGAAATGGAACCTCCATTTGGGGGCGCATTGGGTATCAGAATAAGTGTCCCTTGAACAGAGGTTTCTTTAGAATGAAGACACTAGTCTATGGTAAAACAGGAATGAAAAAGCCGACAAACGGGTTATACCTGTCGATAAGGGTACCTGCAACAATGGCGCCCACAAAGCGAAAAGTAGACTGCGTGAATAAAAGCCAACTTAAGGCGTCAATAATGTCAATATTTGTAAAAAACGATATCAAATAATCTGTAAGCGTTGGTCCTGCCATTCCCACCGACATACCAAACATAAAAAACGTGCTGAAGTACAGAAAATGGGCACAAATAGATTTGCAGTGCGGAGAGAAGTATCTTCGTAAATCTTCCACTTGATCCGCGTAAGATTTGATCCTCATCCATATCACTGGAAAAATCACTTGCCGAAGCATATCTTTCTCTTGGGATCAACTCGGAAACCAGTGACTTAATTCTTTCACTACAAAATTCCAACTTTATGGCTTCATGACTTGAGAGATATCGTTTTAAAAATAAGGTAAGCTCGATCCAGAGGCGTCTCGCAGCCCGCGGCTTAGTCGTGTTCTCCCGTTGTTAGAAGCTGCTACTTTTTGCTGTGTTTTAAAGCTATTTTGGTGTTAAATGTGAGGCCTGTAGACACAACGATTTGTTTTCCTATACACCAAGTTAATCATCGAAATAAATGAGTGGCAGGTTAAATTGTCCTCCGTGACACTGTCGTCACCCGTCTCAGGAAGTAAAAAACCGGCTTTTTTGTCAAAGTTTCCTTTCGGGTGGTTTCTTTCCCCACTTGCTAGTCGAAAGTTTCTTTCAAATTGCAAAGTCTATACCGCGATATGGTAAACAAATCCGTGTTTGTTTACAGATAAAATCATCAGAAACAGTGAAACTATTAACTATTAAACCATGTTGGCCGAGGGGAGAGTTTCCTGTCGAGGGGGAGGGGGGGAAGGGAAGGGTTGTACAATAAATGTTATATACAACTGGGGGCAAGGCAGGTTGCATTGCCTTATTATCATTTTGTGTCGCCCTCTCCCTATAAAGGGGGTCGCTTTTACCATGCAACCCCCCCCTTTTTTTCCTTTCTTTCTGTTATTTTTTGACATGCACCTGTCGCAAGCAGGTAAACAGAACAACCCTTTTATGGATGATCTCCTTAAAAGCAGTCATATGAATCACTCTACAGCCTAAATATTACCACCAGAAATATGCATCTTTGCTGGGCTGATTTTTCTGAGCAGATGAAAAGTTTAAAGCCATTTAAGAAATGAGTAGTGTTCATAAGCCACAGTCACTTTTTGCATTCTAATGAAGTTGAAGGTATCATTTGATAGTTTGGCTGTTACTCTTGTGTCTGTGATCAAGTCAAGCGTGTTGACACGAAGTAATCGTGAATAATATGCATGAATAAACTTTGAACGCAGGGAACCCCACAACGCACAATAAAACTTAGATAATGCTTCTTGTTGTCAGCTTCCCTCTGCTTAGATTTTCACTCCAAGCAAGGCTGAAACATCGACAGAAGGAAAGGTTGACTCTTTTTTATACTTAAGGTAAAACAAATATTTGCCCAACGGAAATCGTTATGAAGCAAACGTGTAAATCCTATGTTGAATGGAGGCTTCAAGAGGTTTCGTTTGAAATTTCGAATATTTGAGAGGAACTGTATGGTTTTAAAATTGAGGTCAGTCAACTTGAACAAAAGTTAAGAAGAGAACTAGATAGATTCGAATTAGATAACACCTGTTGAACCAACAAGCGAAACGTCACTTCTGTGTCTCAAAACTCTATATAACCAATTTTCTTAGCTATGGACCTCCTCCATCAGCGACCTTTCATAAGAACTGAGAGGTAGACAAAGTATCAAAATGATTGTTTAAGTGCAGAAGTCAACGATGTACGTGGTTGGAGCTGAATCAGATAGAAACATCAATCTTGTTATTGTTGCGTAACTGTAGTAGGCGGACACCCTGTTTTAAGACGACACTGGTGAGGGTTCCACGATCTATTTGCTTATAAGCCCTAAGTAGACAGGCTGTGGAAGTCAAAAAGACTTTAAAGTCGTTAAAGTCCTAGTTAGCTGCGATAACGGTTTTGAAAAACCTAACAGTTTGTAAATAACTCGCTCGTGAGTTACAAACTGTTTTGATGTTCTTCCCTCATCCCGCATGGGTTATTACGCCAATGAGCCGATTGAAAGTGCGGCGGTCTATTGTTTAACAATTCTATACGATTTTATCATCAGAAAGTAAGCTTTTTGTGCGATCTGAGTTAACATTATTGCACTGCTCGCAATGCATCAGGGGACTCACATGGACGCGGTTGTAAGTAGGCGTGTATGCGATTTTTCAAGTGGTACAAGAATAGAAAAGTCAATACCAATTAGTGATAACTCGAGTAACCAAACCTCGACAGTTATTAATTCAATTTGACGAAAATCTCCTAATAAGACTTCAACTTGTCTAAATCGCTCGAATAGATAAATCATAACAAACAGGTTGCAACACGAAAATAGCTTGCCATGACCGCGCCATATTGCAATCGACGATTTGACTGAATATTCACGGTTTAAAGTTTACAGAAAAATAAATGGGTTATAGGAAAAGAGATAAATTTTAAGAGCTATATAAAGGTATCTAGCACCTCAATAGGACTGACATTTTACAGCGTGTTACCTGTCCAACATGATCCCAGCTACACTTGCTCCGAGCAAAGCATAAGCCGCCTGCGTAAAAAACAACCAGCTCATCATGTCCAATCCATGATGAACCAAGTGTCCTAATTCGATCAAAGTTGGTCCTAGAATTGCCATTGTCGTCCCGAAGGAGAAAAAACAGCCACAGTACAACGCAGTTATAAACACACGGCGTGATAAATCAGCTCTGCTTTCGTTTGAGCGATTTCCATCGGTTTGTTTTTCATTCCTTGAGGCTCGTTCTTGAGCAATAGTCAAGCCAAGAAGATGAATAAAACTCATACCGTCTTTCCCTCGTCATGTGTGAAGACAATGGACGCCAACGTTTAAAAGCACAGCAACGGTCGTTTCATATTTGAAGCCAAACGTAGAGTTGTTTAGGACTTGAGAAACAGATAAAATTCTACAAAATAAACTTGCTTTCTCTTCATCAAAGGAAAAATTCTAAGCAATTAAAACAAGCGCAAAAATCCGCCGCTTTTTCTCAAGAGAAAACTATTGAAGTATGTTCTAACCGCTTCCCCATGATGCTAGGATAATTTTTTTTTCAAATATGGCTGACTTTTGGCGGTCGGTGGCTGTTCTTTAATAATTCATAACCCTCCACTTGTTGCATGTACTTAAGGTACGTGTGTTTTTAAACAAAAAGTGGGAGGCGAGCAGGAGATTGAAAGACAAACATTTTTTTCTCTAAGATGAAGCAAATTCCTCAAAAATCGCTGATAAAATTTTTCTTAAAACTCCAATATCTTAGAGTTTAAAGGCAAATTAAACTTTTCAAAGAGCGCAGCAATTTTTTAAATTCGGGTGGCTGTTTTACTTTTAATCATTTTTTCTTTGTGAGCGAAGAAGGAAAAGTAGAAATTTAATTGGTTGGGTAATAAAAACAATTTTGACTTTAACATAAACAACAACCTGCTAATGACCTTGCTTAAATTCTGGAGGAGAATCTGCGACATCAGATTTTCTGATTTTCATGAACTTGCGTCCCCCGAATTTGAGATGTAATTGTTTTAAGCATAACTTTTTCTTTCTGATACAAAAAACCGGTAATTTAAAGTTTATCCCCTCAACAAAATGAGAGAAATGGTAAGTCTGACTGATCCTTATGTCTTAAAATTTGGCGTAAGAACTCTACGATAATAGAAGTTCCATTGCAAAATTTTCCTTGAAATAGTGAACACATTGCCACCACCAAGATTAAAACTAAACTTTAAAAAAAATCTCTTTGTTTAAAAAAAAAAACGATGCGTATGGTCAATCTTCATATTCACTAACAGGAAGTGTCACAAATAATAAAGTCACGAGTTACCAAGCGAGAACGCTATGTGTTGTGTTGCAACCAGAGAATAAACGGAAGTTGATTCCAACTAAACCGGAAGTACTCGTCCAATGCGGAAGTGATCCGCGCTAGGTGAGCGTGTTGTTTGTAAATGTAGAGAACAGAAAGGAAAACTTCAAAACGCTTTTATTGTTGATTCCATCAATCACCTCATAATTTTTGACACATATTTACAATTTATAATAGCTAACTAATCAGAGCACTGAACACGTTTTCCCCAAGCAACCATTTTGCAAGAAATGTCCCATAGAAAATAAATTTCAAAATATTTCAGAAAACGGCATTCTGGAGGGACAACTCCGCTAAAAACTCACCCTGCTCCCAACAGCACTAAGGAGATGATAAGAAAAATTAGTTCTCCACTTTTTTCAATGGTTTGCATTTGACTGTTGATTGTTAAAGGATGAAGGAAAATCACTTTGTTATTAATTTCAGAAAAAAAGATGAAAATACAAAAAACACCCTGCTTCTCCTCACCAGGAATAATTGTGCCAGCCTTTTTGCTGACAAAAATTTCAAATTTCTTACTCACAATGTTTTTGCTATAAATTTTGTTGGAGTGCTTATGGAGAGAAGCCCTTTTGAACAAAATCATTGAAACTATCTTTTGTTTAACTGGATTAAATTATTCAGAAGGAGAAATATGAAAAACACCCTGCTTATCCCCACCAGGAATAATTATATCAGCCTTTTTGTTGACAAACAATGAATAGATTGTTTTTGAGATACTTGTCATCTCAATATTTTTCTGAAAATTTGCCGTCAAATTTCGTACTCATACTGTTCTTGCTGTAAATTTTGTTGGAATGCTTATGGAGAGAAGCCTTTTCGAACAAAATCATTGAAACCATCTTTAGTTTAACTGGACTAAATAATTCAGAAGGAGAAATATAAAACAGAAGATATCTCATCCGGGCAGGTGCGATAGGTCAACTTTGAAGCTCCACAACTCTATGTGCTGTCTCGCCTCTCATTAGCTCGTCGTTCCCAGCCTCTTCATTTTCTTCGTCACACGTAACCAGCGGGGTGTATTCACAATCGTCACAGGCCTGGTTACAACGGCAAAGGCGATTGACTGCGACACGATAGAGATCATGCACTGGACAAAGGCAAAAGGTTAATGAGTTCTCTATTCAAGCGAATCTCCATCTACGAAATTACATTTTGAATATAATTTCCAGATCTTGCACGAACTTCAAACTATTCCAAATTATTACATCATATTATAACCTCTAAAAAATCGTTTACTGGAGTAGAGTAGGTCACAGTTTTCGCCTACCTGATTGGTTGATCTGAGCCTTAGCAGTCATGCGCAAAGTCAGAAAAACAAGAAGGGCGAAAGTACAAACCAAGAAACCAATCACGAGGAAAGAGAGTGGTCCTTTCCGCGGGAACGCCTGGAACGGAAAAGACAGCCATCAGTGAGACTTTATTGGGGAACCGGGCTCCACAAAGATTTTTTGTTTAAGGTTAATGGTCAGTAAGCAATTTAAAGTCAGTTTTATAGTCCTCGGACACTTGCACTCGTTCAGAGTGTATGTGATATTTGCTAACGCTGTGTGCGTTTTTAACAATATACTTTAAGAACATCTAACGACCTAAAAAAATCAAACTTTGTTCCCTACCCGAGGCAAACATTGAAAGTCTGTCTTTATTCGACGACCTACTCAAAATTATCTGTCTTTCTAATAATTTTCGCACTGAAGACGCTTTCAACACTAATCCTAGCAGTATAAAAGACATTTGTCTAATATAAACTCAATGCACTGACCAAAGAGTTCTCTTTAGATGACAAAATCGGAATATTTTCAGCTGCAGTTTCAATCCTGTCACGGTACTCAGAGTTTTTCTCTGCCTACGCTGTTGACAAATTCTAAGCTTATAAGATAATAGGCTTATTTATATATTATCTAAACTTGTGTGTATCTGCTTTCAAGAGAAATTATGATCACCTTTCCGATGAGTAAAGGAAATACCATCTCTCCTGTTGCAGAACTAACAATTAGGATGCTAGTTATGGATCCTAAAAAAAAAGATAACGTGAGTGTTGTTGTCAGCTGTAGCGCCGGAGGAGGGAAGTTTTTTTTAAAAGAATTCCATCTTAGCTGTTTAGCAAATAGATTTTATGTTTTCGGGCGTCTGGTCAGTAATAGATCACAAATGACGTCAAAATTTGATGAGAAAAAAAAAAGTGGTGACGTCATCTATGCGCCTATCCTCCGAAAGATCATAAGTAAGAACCAATCAAACTGCGTGTTTTGTTCAGCCTATCATATCATTCAGGACATTGGAGCAGTAACTATGGTGACAGCTGTTGTACCTGTGACGTCAATGTAGTGTTCAGCCAGAGACAGAGTGGAAGGAAATACAGAACTCATAAACAAGCCAAACGCCCCGCTACCGATCCATAATGCTAAAGACACATCGTGCAGATACAACATGAAGGATATTGCTGTAAAGCATCCAAACTGAAAGGCGAATAATTCTCAAATTAAAAGTTTTGCTTTGAATAGGAAATTCACTATAAAGAGGAAAATTTATATTTTTGTTGAGAGGAAGTAAAACAATTATTTTTCTTCAGATATTAAGTTCTTTGGTATTCTCTCCACTTACCAGATTAACAAAAAGCATTTTATCCGGTACCAGAAAAACAGAAACGACGATAGAAATAAATCTTCCAGCGGCAAAGGAACACTAAATGAAAAAATTATGATGAACTATAAGTATCAAATTAATAATATTAATAAGATAATTCTTCAATTTAACTTTTATAAATTTCTATGTCAATCGGTTGAAGGGGTTTAATGATCAAGATGTTTTAAGGACCTTATTGATCAATCATGTTTTAAAACTGTAAGGAAAAGTGTTAAAAGTTAATCACTACAGAGATTTAAACTGTTAAGAAATTGAAAGGGAAAACGTTGGGATACTGAAATATATGACGTGTTATTCGTGATTCAACTATGCAGTTTTCAAATTTGCCTTATTTTAGTCTCTCTTATTGTTATTTTATCGCTGATAAAATTCCTGTAACACTATTCAAATTATACTACTGAGCACCATATCAAAAGTTTGATTGCATACCCAGAATAAAGAATTAAGGTAAGCAGCGTGACTTGGAGTCATGTGCACCTCACTTTTGACTGCATACGTGTATAAATATCCACCATATGCGCCCTAAAATAGAGGTATACAAGGATAAGAATTTTTATAGGGAAAACAACTTGAACATTAGGTTAAAGAGCACTTTTTTCGATTGAGCTATGATAACAGCCAATCAAGTTATTTCTACCATAAATACGGTTTAATAATGACGAATGAGTTTTTCATGATACCTGTAAGCCATCAAACAGGAATAACAACAGGCCAGCGAGGATTGTTACCAGCGGTATTTTGGCAGGAAGACTACAGAATGATAATCTAATAGAGGAGTCAGCGGTAGGTTTCAACACTTGTGGTAGATCTAAAAAAGATGAACAGACTGTACTGTGTTAAAAAGCTCTATTGCTCACCGCTGCGCTATTCACGCCTCACGGTATAATTGTTAGACCGGCTGTGTTGAAAAAATCGACGAAAAGTAGTATTTATCCTAACGTATTTCTGTGTGGTGACCTGAGAGCTTTATTGTTAGCCATATCATGCTGATAAGACCAAATAATGTGCTAGCAAAGATTCTCATGTTTACGCACCGTTTGGCAACACAATTCCTTAATCAAAACTGCTTCCACCCGAGTAGAATCGATGTGTTTTACCTTCACTTTCTGTTTCATCACTATTCCCAGGAGGCAAAGCGGCAAGAGTCACCACCCTCCCAGCAAAAATATCAGGTGACCAGCGCCTGAGGTATCGCTGCCTGTAGATGAGGTAAAACAAACCTGACTGCACGGGAATCTGAAAGAGAAAAGAATAACAAGTTTTAACGTGGGTTAAGTACATTACTTAAAATTTTTTGGATATGTGGGCTTAGAGTGAGTCAGACACAGACTAAGAGCCTCTTCATATGAATCCGGTCAACCGGGCGGGTCGGTTTCCGATATTTCGCCATGCCATTCTTTCCTTTGCAAATATTTAAAACTTTAACTCCCAATGTCTCTTTA